AGTCCTAGCTACTTGGGAGGCTGAGACAAGAGAATCACTTAAGCCCAAGAGTTTGAGGTTGCTGTGAGCTGTGATGCCACATCACTCTACCAAGGGTGACATAGTGAGACTCTGTCTCAAAAAAAAAAAAAAAAAAAGGAAACAAAAAAATTAACCAGGCATTGTGGCAGGTACCTGTAGCCTCAGTTTCTCGGGAGGCTGAGCCAGGAGGATCACTTGAGTCCAAGAGTTTGATGATGTGAGCTAGGCTGATGCCTTGGCACTCAAGCCTGAGGCAAAAGAATGAGACTCTGTCTCAAAAAAACAAGAAAAAGAAAGTGAAGCACCAGTTCAGATTTGTGTTGTAGGAAGAAGCCTGAGGGTAGTGAGCAGGAGGAGCAAGATGGGGAAGAAGGCCTGGGGTCTTGGGGGCAAGGACCAGGGAAGGAAGGACCTGACAGAGATGGGACCTAGGGGATGAGGAAAGGGGAAAAGAGGGATGGCATCTTTGCAAAACATCTACTCTATACAGGCATGCTCATTGCCTCATATGACACTCCCAGTACCCCTATGAGAACCTGCAATTACTCATTTTCCAGGTGAGGCTCTTAAAAGTTAGGAGGCCTGGCTCAGTGCCTATGGCTCAAGTGGCTAAGGCTATACAGCCACATACACCTAAGGTGGTGGGTTCAAATCCAGCTGGGGCCCGCCAAACAACAATGATGGCTGCAACCAAAGAATAGCCGGGTGTTGTGGTGGGCACCTGTGGTCCCAGCTACTTGGGAGGCTGAGGCAGACGACTCACTTGAGCCCAGGAGTTGGAGGTTGCTGTGAGCTGTGATGCTACAGCACTCTACCCAGGGAGATAGCTTGATGCTCTGTCTCAAAATAAATAAATAAATAAAAGTTAGGAGGCCTGACCAAAATCACATGACCACTGAGCCATGAGTCAGACTAGAAGCCAGGCTTGGAGCTGGGTGCACTCTCCTGAGCACCATCACCAGTAAGTGCCTGAGAAGCTCGCTTCTGCCTGGTCCTAGAGGACTGGAGCCTCCATCATCCCCTGGGTCTTCCTTCTTCCCACTAATGCTCTCCTGTGATCTCTCCTGTCCCTAGTCTGGACTGAAGAGGAACTGAAAGGAGGGTTCAGACTAAGCCAGGATAGCCAAGTGTGCCATGGCCAGCTGTCTTGTGGAGGTCCCTGGTATGAGGGCCTTTGACAGGTCCCTGGGCCAATCCCCTATCAGAGATGAGAAAAGTCTGTGGTGGCTCAGTGCCTGTGGCTCAAGCGGCTAAGGCGCCAGCCACATACACCTAAGGTGGCGGGTTCGAATCCCCAGCCCGGGCCCGCCAAACAACAATGATGGCTGCAACCAAAAAATGGCCAGGCGTTGTGGCGGGCGCCTGTAGTCCCAGCTACTTGGGAGGCTGAGGCAGGAGACTCGCTTGAGCCCAGGAGTTGGAGGTTGCTGTGAGCAGAAGCCATAGCACTCTACCCAGGGGGACAGCTTGAGGCTCCATCTCAAAAAAAATAAAAAAGAAAGAAAAGTCTGTTGTGTTCTCTCTTGAATCTCTGCAAAAACGAATGCAGGGCTCCATGTCTTATTTTCACGATTCCTTGTGGGAACCTAGAACAGTGCTGGCATGCAGTGGGTCACCAATAAATGTTTGTCCAATGACTGAACAAGGTGCCTATAGGACATTTAGGAGACAAATTCAGGAAGCAGCTAAAAGATTCTAGTCTGGATTCACTTTAGATTTGATTCAGGAATAAACTTGGGACAGGTTCGGGCAGTCAACATAGATACTTATAATTTATGCCTAGGGAGAGCTGGGCAGCAGGGCCCACACAGGTTAATCTCAGGAGTAAAGCAGGTAGGGTGTGGTTTTCTTTCAACCTAGACATCCGTAGCATATTAAACACAGTATCTTTCACTTGGAAATGTACTCTCTTCCACTTCTCTTGAACCACGAAGCCCTCTCAGTCCATCCTTGGTTTCCATGGATACAAGTGAGCAAGAGCACAGGGTGGATGGCAGTCACTGTGGGGAGCCCATCTGGCGGAAGCTACCCCCTGGCCTGCACCAAGGGCTGCCCTGAGAATTCTGAACAGTGTGGCCAGATCTGGTTTATCAACAACATCCAGAGGCTCAAATTTTTATGTGAGATCTGATTTTTTAATATTGGCAACGATATTCGATTTTTAAAATCCTATTAAAAAATAATAAATATGAATCAAATGCACCATGATGACGACGGGGGCCTTAGCATAGAGAAGAGAAGAAACACAGGGAACACCAGCATCACGGCACTGGGCAGGGACAACAGAAAGCTGCCAGAGACCTAGGAAGAGAGCCTCCTGAGGGTTCTGGGACAGAGGAGCCAGAGCAGAGCTTAGAGTGTGTCAAGATGCTGCCAACAGTATCAATCAGGCAGATAAGGCCAAGTAGTCCCCTTGGCATTTTCCAACAAGGTGACATTTGCCAGATCAGTTTAGCAGAGAGCTGGGGCAGCTGCCAGGGTTAAAGAGGAACAAGGAGTGGGTGGTGGTGAGGATGTGGGACAGGAGTGCAGACAGCTCTTTTAAGAGCCTTGGCCAGGGTGGGCCAAGAGGATCACCAAGATCAGCTGACAGGCCAAGTTGTGGGTGGGGAGTGTGAGCTGCAATGTGTCTGCCCAAGAATGGTGGCTGAAGAGGGGGGAGAAGAGCAGAGAGCAGGGGCTGCTGGATCCTGGGTGCAAGGATCTCCCTGGTGGGGGGACATCAAAGCAATCCGCAGGCACCTCCTCTGCAGGCTGCCTCACTCTGGGTGCTGGACACACAAATCACTTAAATGTTATTTAAGCATCATAACACCTTTAGGAGAGATTTTATTAAAGGCAACAGCGTTTTAGATGAGGAAACTGAGGCTCAGATAGGACAAGGAACCTATTCAGCGCCACCCAGCCAGAATGGCCTGGGCCTGCTGCTCCAAGGATGCAAGGCCAAGGCAACCCTTCCTTCCCAGCCCCTTTTGTGCCCCTACCACAGAGCTGCAAGGATCACAGTGTTCCAAAGGTAGGGTGCAAGGCTGTGCGGGTGGAGGCTATAGGAACTGGGAAATGAATGCCCTTATGTCAGGCAGGGAGGCCATTAGCACCCTTGGAAAGTGCAGTTTCCCCAGTCGAGGGGGCAGAGCCCATGGCAGGGGGCTGAGTAGGCAACTGGAGAGGCAGAGGGCATGGGAGTGGGGGGAGGCCTTTCTCAGCTCAGAGTGGCTTGAGCTTATTTGGAATCAGCAGGGAGAGAGGCAGTGGCGGGTGAGGAACTGTTTCACCAGAGTATCAAGGCAATTCTGTCACTGCCTCCTCAGCCCTGGCCCCACATGGACATGGTACACACAGAAGATACACACACAGTCCCAGAACTCTCCTAGCAGCTCTGTCACAGGAAGGAGCTGATGGGCTGGAGGGCTGGCAGCAGGTCACCCAGGGATCTGAGTTGGCCAAATCCAAAGCTCACTCATGTCCCTTGCCACTGACAAAAGTGATTACTACTTGAGGACTAGGTAGATTAGGAAGGACTCTTGCAGCAGCAGTTCAGGCTAGTAAAAAGAGCTAATTTAACTGAGGAAGTTAATGGTTCCAGACCTGGATGGATCCAGGTAGCCATGGACGTTACTGGGAATCTCATTCTCTCATCTCTCAGCTCTGCCTTCTTCGGCGCTGGCTTTATTCTCAGGAGGCTCTCCCCGTTATTGGCAGGTATGGTGCCCCCCCAGCACCAGACCCATACCCTGCCAGCTCAGCAGCCCCAGTGAACAGAGAGAGGCTTTCTTCATGTTTCCAGGAAAAGTACCAGTGCTGACACCCATTGAACTGACTTGAGTCACGAGTCCATCCCTGAAGTAGTCACTAGATCTGACCCAACCAGGCCTGGATCACATGCTCCCATCTGGAGCCAATTGTGGAAAATCCACCAGGCCAGGCATGGTGGCTCATGCCTGTAAACCTAGCACCCTGGGAGAGTGAGGTGGGTGGAACACTGGAGTTCAAAATTTCGAGACCAGCCTGAGAATAGTGAGACCCTGTCTTTACTAAAAATAGAAAAACTGAGGCAAGAGTATTGCTTGAGCCCAAGAATTTGAGGTTGCTGTGAGCTATAATGCCACAGTGCTCTAGTCAGGGCACCAGAGAGAGACTCTATCTTAAAAATAAAATAAAATAGGCTCAGTGCCTGTGGCTCAAGCGGCTAAGGCGCCAGCCACATACACCTAAGGTGGCGGGTTCGAATCCAACCTGGACCCGACAAACAACAATAATGGCTGCAACCAAAAAATAGCCAGGTGTTGTGGCGGGCGCCTGTGGTCCCAGCTACTTGGGAGGCAGAGGCAGGAGACTCGCTTGAGCCCAGGAGTTGGAGGTTGCTGTGAGCAGTGAAGCCATAGCACTCTACTCAGGGGGACAGCTTGAGGCTCTGTCTCAACAACAACAACAAAATAATAAATAAATAAAATAAAATATAGCTGGGCGTTGTGATGGGCACTTGTAGTCCCAGCTACCCAGGAGGCTGAGGCAAGAGAATAGCTTAAGCCCAAGAGTTTGAGTTTGCTATGAGCTGTGATGCCATAGCACTCTACTGAGGGTGACATAGTGAGTCTCTGCCTCAAAGAAAAAAAAAAACATGAAATAAAATATAAAATATCCTCAAACTGACCTGACCTTAGGAGGTAGGTACCGTCATTACCAACCCCATATTATAGTTGAAGACCAGCAATTCAAGACAGGTCAGGCAACTAGCCTAAGGGCACACCATTAGCAATAAGCTTATTGGGAGCATAACTAATGTGAATAAAAATGGCTGGCCCAAGGCTGAGCATGGTAGCTCACAACTGTAATCCTAGCACTTTGAGAGGCTGAAGTAGGTGGATTGTCTGAGCTCACCGGTTCGAGACCAGCCTCAGCAAGAGCAAGACCCTGTCTCTAAAACTAGCTGGGCATTGTGACGGGTGCCTGTAGTCCCAACTACTTGGGAGGCTGAGGCAAGAGAATCACTTGAGCCCAAGAGTTTGAGGTTGCTGTGAGCTATGATGTCACAGCACTCTGCTAAGGGTGATAGTGAGACTGTCTTTAAAAAAAAAAGTGCCTGGCCCAGCACCAGGGGCAAATACTTGGGAAGTGCTGTGAGCTTTATAACAAAGACGGGGCACGTTCAAGGTGTGCTTGCAGGGGGAAGATGGAGCCAGAGAAGGTTCTACCAGCTAGTGCTGGAAAAGTCTTGCAGGCTCCCCTCAGCCTAGAAAGCTTCCTCAGAGGTGTGGGGGAGCACAGAACAGGCAAGTGGGGGTGGAGGGAGGAGGGTGGGGCCATGAGAAGGAAGGGAGGGGGTTCTCTTTTCTAAGCCTCCAACCAGTCACATTTTATCCGGCACAACAGGTTATCAAAAGAAGCTCACACAGAGGAAGTGTTTTTAGCCAAGGTCACACAGCAAGGGATCAGTTTCTACATCTGAATCCACCCTTGTTCTCATCTTTTCTACTCAGAGGATCTAGAAACCATGGGACCAGACTCCTAGTGTGTGGGGGGAGACATGTCAGTAACTTGAAGGGTGATCAATCCTGGGGGGGTGGCAGACATGAAGCCTGGTGGGAGGCACTTACCAGTCACCCACCCTCTGAGAAGGCTGGGTATGTGGATTTCTGGGGCAGCCAGTGGCTGAAAGGAGGCAGGTTCTCAGAAAACAGAGTGACCAGTGGCCACCAACTCCCACCAGTGAAGATAACTGAGAACTATGGATCCACTGAATTTGGCAACTTAGGGAATCATCAATGATCTTAGCCAGAGCAAGCCAGGGAAAATGGGGAGAGAAGAAGACAGATCACAAGCAACAGATGTCTGTATACATATATCCTCTACAAATGATAGGAAGAAGATGATGGGAAAGGCAGCAGGCTGCAAAGACCACCCCCTTGCTCTCTTGAAAAAAACATAAAATTGGGTGTAGGATGTATGGGAACTCTATACTATCTTTGTAATTTTTTGGTAAATCTAAAACTGTTCTAAAATAGAAAGTTTATTTTAAAATATTGGTAGCAAGAGGTGAGAATAGGTGTGGCTGGAGAGTTTGTAGGTGGCTAGTGGAGAGGCAGGAATTTGAGGAGGGTGTACATGGGCCTTCTGGTTTGGGGGTTTTTTTGTTTTGTTTTGTTTTGAGACTACAGGCACCCGCCACAATGCCCGGCTATTTTTTGGTTGTAGTTGTCATTGTTGTTTTGGCAGGCCTGGGCTGTATTCGAACCCACCAGCTCTGGTGTATGTGGCTGGTGCCTTAGCCACTTGAGCTACAGGCACCAAGCCAAGGCTTCTGGTTTTTGGATGTGAAATTGAGCATGTAGAAGGCTTAGGGAGCTGTGAGCTAGGACAAGTCAAAGGGAGGAGGAAGAGGTTTGGCCATCTGCCCACCCCTCCACAGAATCCCAGAGGCTAACTGGATCTCCTTCCTCCCCAGAATCCTCCTCTTCTTGCCCAGTGGTGGGTGATGGTTAAAGCTCTGTCCTCCCCATAAACCCTCACCCTTCTCTTCCCCACCCTCTGTCACCCACTCAGGGATCTCCACTGCACCCCAACTTTACCTACTGGCCAGTTGGTCTGGGGCACAGGAGCTGGGTTGACCCTGCCTGGGCCTTACTCTAGTAGAGTAGGTACCAAGAGTTCTCTAGGAAGAGGCCTATGAGATGGTTTTTTTTTTTTTTTGTTTGTTTGTTTGTTTTGAGACAGAGCCTCAAGTTGTCCTCCTGGGTAGACTGCTGTGGCATCACAGCTCACAGCAACCTCCAACTCTTGGACTCAAACAAGTCTCTTGCCTCTGCCTCCCGAGTAGCTAGGACCACAGGCGCCCACCACAACGCTTGACCATTTTTTGGTTGCAGCCATCATTGTTGTTTGGTGGGCCCAGGCTGGATTCGAACCTGCCACCTTAGGTGTATATGGCTGGCGCCTTAGCCACTTGAGCCACAGGCGCCAAGCCAAATGTTTTGAGTTTTAAAAGGGTTCTCCCTGCTCCAAAGTGCTGGGAACCATGGGTGGGCATATATGCACACCACTCTCCCTCTCCTGGCATAGCCAGTTACTAACTCAGAACTCAAAGGCCTAGCTAGAACCCCTTTCTACTCTACGCCAGGTGGGACCAGGTGAAATATGCTCAGCTTCTGTCACCTCTCCTGGGGAGATGGGGTTGGGAGGTTTTGTAATGGTGAAAAAGGTTTCTGAGAGGAGGTCGTCGGTTTCAGGGTTCCACCCCAGCAAGGAATGGAGATGTTCCAAGGAGGCTCTGATGTGGCATTCACTCCTCTCAGGGGAAATCTCTGGGCCCCAGCCCCTCTGTGTTCAGAGCTTTAGGAAATATAGATGCCAGGAGGCTCACCCTGAAGTGTCCTTAGATTGCTGCCCTGGGAGTCTGGAGTTAGATGCTGCTTCCTAAATGCTACTTGGGATTCTTCTGGGACAAGTGAGGCTTGGGAGAGAAGGAAAGGGAGAGAAGGCTGGCCCATCTGAGAGAGCACAGGTGTGGGTGGGGAAAGAGGCTGGCAAAGATGGGGGAGGACTGGCCTGAGACAAGCCTATAGAGCAGCCAGGGAGGAGTGTTGTTAGCAGGTGGGATCAGGACATGCCTAGGATATGCTGGGCTGAGGAGGGTACAGCTAGGATGGGGTGGTGAACAGAGGGTAGTGGGGTCAGGAATGGGGCCAAAGCTGGGAGGGGAAAGAACCTGGGATTGATTTAGGTTTGGAATTCAGATGGCCGTGGACAGTGATGGGTGTGGACTAGGAATGAACCTTTCTTTCAGGGACAGAGCCGGGCTGCAAGACAGGCCAGGAGTGGTCCGGTATCTGAAGTAGCTTGGGGCTAGGCTGGACCAGGGTGGAGGTAAATGAAGCAATGGGTAGGGCTAGACCAGATAAAGACTGGGAGGGCAAAGGTGAGGATGGGGCTGGGTTTGGGACTGGTAAGAGGGTGAGCGCCTAGGTTGGGGTCAGGGGACGGGGTCAGTACGGGGGAGAGTTGGAGGCCCCGGAGGCAATGGCCTGGGGAGACGCGAGGCAGGTGGCTCCCGCGCTGAGTGGAAGGCGCGTGAGCGAGGGGCGTGGGGGTGCCCTGGGCAAGCTGGGAAGGGGGGGCGGGCCTCCCCCTGGGCCGGCCCGGGCGGCGCTAGGACCGAGCAGGGAGGGAGCGAGCCGGGCGGAGCCAGAGCCCCCCGCCCCCCGCCGGCCGGCTCCCCTCCCCCGGCCGCTGGCTCGCTCGGTTCGCAGCGCTGCAGAGGCTCAGAGGCGGCGGCCGCGACTCCCTCTTTTCCCCTCCCTCCTTCTCCGTCCGTCCGTCCGTCAGTGCGTCTGTCCGTTCGGCCTCGGTCCGGCCCGAAGCATGGCCGGCGTCAGCTTCAGCGGCCACCGCCTGGAGCTGCTGGCGGCATACGAAGAGGTGATTCGGGAGGAGAGCGCGGCCGACTGGTGAGCCCCCCGCCCTTGCCCCCGGCCCCTTTGTCCCCGCGCCGCCGCCGCGCCTTTGTTTCCATTCGTCCCAGCCGCCCCGCAGCCGAGAAGGGAGGGGAAGACCCCGAAATGGTGCAACGGGCCGGGAGGGTCAGGGAGGGGCTGCCTTTGTGCGCGCCGGGGGAGGGGCCGGGCGGGCCAGGCAGGGCACCGCCGGGCCCCTAGCGCCCGGAGGCGCCCCAGACTCTCAGTGGGAGCGGCGGCCGGTCGCAGGCCAAATGCACGCGGGGTCCACCAGATGGGCGCGGGGTCCAGATGCGTGGCCTGGGGCCGCGTGGCCCTGCGGGAGCCCATCCCCCACTTCCCACCATCCCCCTGCCCAGGGGACAGGTGTGCACGGGGCGGCCAAGGGCACCTTCGCCACCTTCCAGCGGGTGAGGACCGGGAGGGGACGGGGCGGGGACCGAGCTAGCGAAGCCAGCGCAGCTTGCCTGGCTTGGCCCGGCCCGGCCGCTGCACAAAGGAAAGCTAGGGCGGGGGAGGAGCGGAGCGGGCTGGGGGCCGGGCGTCCCGCCCACTGGGGGGACCTCTCCGAGTTGGCTGCCCCCCCCCCCCGAACCTGGACTGGAGTGTGATGGAAGGATGTTCACTGCCACATGGTGACTGCAAAGTGACTCCCATGCCTCTCCTGGGTCACTGAAGAGGCAGGAATGACCCCTTCTTTTCAGTACTTGAAGCATATACGCAGGGGCTAGGCAACTGGGCTGGGGGATATCGAGGAGACTGACCTGCCTCTCTCTGGTGCCAGCCGAGGTACCTAGTACCTTGTTTTACCCCTGGAAAACAAACAAGCAGAGGGAACCCCCAAAGAGGGATCTGGGGGTGAGTAGGTCCCCTGGGTCTCTAGCATGGCTACTGGGTCCCTGATAGGGGCTTTTCCTTCTGTTGTTCCCCCCCTCCCTTAGCTTGGGAGGGTATGGACCACATGCTCTGGGGCTGGAGCCCCTGGTGTGACAGGAATAGAAAACCATGGGGTTCTACACTGCCCCGTCCTGGAGCCATCTCCTCAGAATACTCTTCTTCTGGGGCAGGTACCCATTCTGTTCTTAGGCCTCTCCTCCCCCACAGACAGGAAATAGACACTTCTCCTTGAGGAAACAGGCACAAAGTAAGGGCAGCTCCAAGGGACCCCCACTTAGGCTGGCTTCACCCTCAGGCTGGAAGGGCAGCCAAGTAGACACACTGACCTGGGGGCTCTAGAAGGGGACAAGATGGCCAGGCATCCATGCCATGGTACTGCAGCACTGGCGGGCAGCCAGCCTGGAGGGATGGACAAGGGAGACAAGCTCTTGTGTCCTGCAGGTCAGTCACAGGAGAAGCCAGCACAGGCTAAGCAGGCAGGCGGTCCACCCATTGTCCCAGCCCTTTCCCTGGGGGGCTGAGATCATGGGAGGAGTTCTGGGCAAGTAGCCGGTTTGGCTTGGTGAAAGAGCTGGCCTTGGGATAAGTCCCTGCCTGGGGAGAGACCCAGCTCACCCCAGAAAGCCTCCCTCACCCTCTACTCTGGAAAATGTTGTCTACCATCACCCTGTTTTCTCTTAACCCCCACAAAGCAGAACTCTGGTGGCCTAGTGCCAGGCCATACACTATTGCTGCCCCACATCATGCTGAGCAGAGGCCTCAGCTCCCACCATCCATGTGGTCAAAGTGAGTTATTCATCACTGGTGTGCGTCACCCCCCATCTGGGTTGTGTGTGGGACACACACATGCACACATGCACCCTCGCACATGCACACATTTGCTCACTCCCAAAGGCCCAGATAGCATTTTAGAAAAAGGCAATGAGGATCATATCCTGCAGAAAGGGACATGAGTGCCCTAGCATCCAGCACAGAACCTGGGATGCAGTAGGGTCTCAAGACTCAAGGATAGACCCTGTACTTAGGCCCAGATGGAGGGGTGTCTTAGGTATAATTGTTGTCTACCCTCCCTTACCTTGCCTCTAATAAGAGAAGCTCACTCCTAGGTGGCAGGGTATCTGAAATGAACCACTGCCCTGGCACTGAGAGCAGGGTACCCAGGAAGTCAGGTTGTGCAGTGAGAAAGGCCACTGTTGCCTTGTTTGGATGATTCATTGCATGACCACCAACAAGTCTTTGGTTCTCTCTGGACCTCTTGGCAAAAAGAATAGAAAGCTCAACCATATCTGGGCTACCAGAGGCCTTTCCAGCTCTAATATCCTGAGAGTGGGATTGTCCTGAGGGGTCCACCTGCTTCAGTCCCCTAGCTAACCCCAGAATTTCCCTGGAGCTGCTACAGGCCAGCTCCCATCTCACCCTTGTCCAGTTTCTCAGGCCTAGGTGGTTTCTAAGAGTTTGTGTCACTATCATATACACCTACTGGTGCTGCTCTGTGCTGGGCAGAATATGTTTATTGACTGAGTCAGAGTTTCTGCCTTCATGAAGCTTTGGTCCTCTCTGGACCTCTTGTTATAGAAAACCAGTCTGGGGCAGTATCTCTCCCTGTGGTTGGAACTGGAGAGATGGGCAGATTCCTGACCCTTCTATCCCATTTGGGTATCCAGCAGATTCACCGCCAGGTCCAGGGTGCCTCAGGTTGTGGGAGTGGTAGATGCCCTCGGGAGGTATGGCTCAGGAAACTGCCTGGGGAGCTGACAGTTTCAGAGCTGACCCCTGAAAGATGGAGGGGGTTCAGTTAGTGATAGGAGTGAGGCAGAGAAGCAGATCTGGCCTTTCATATGAAGAGGACCACACAGGGTAAAGACTCCAGGGTGGGACCTACCCCGCCTTGTGCTTGGGATGGGAACCATCAGGGAGGCCCAACATGTAATCTGATGTGAGTTCTGACGGAAAGGCAGCTGAGGTAGAGCTGAGGGAGGTGGGCTGCTGAAGGTTTGAATTAAGGTGCATTTTCTGTTGGGGAAGTGCTATGGCTGGAGCAGGAAGAGGTGGCAGGAGGTGGCCAGCCAGGGACTGATGATGGAAGAGCCCTTGGAGACCCTGGCAAGGTGAAGACAAGTCATCCCAGGTTGGGATGATACCTAGAACAGTGCCTGGAAACTATTCACAGTTTCTGTGAATGGAGAGGGGCAGACCCTGCTTCTCTGAGGACCCTTTGTTCCCAGTGATGGGTTAGGGCAGCCAGACAGGTGGTGGGACAATTGTGCTGGGAAGCAGCTGTCAGAGCTGGGCTAGGGCTGGGTCTGGGGCTGCAGCAACAGTTGGACCAGGAGCTCCCAGCTTCATAGCCCACCTGTGCCCTTTTCTAGAGGTGGGGGAAGTGGATTAGGATGGAGTGGGGCTAAGGGTCATTTGACCCTGGCAGCAACCTCCCCAGGCTGGGCCAGATATCCTCCTCAACCACCCCACTTATTTCCTTTTCCTTCATTTCTCTCCTTTCTTCTATCTTAGTTTCTCTGCTTTCTCTCCCTGCTTTCTTTCTCCATTTCCCTCCTCTCCTATCTTTCCTCCCCACAGCCTCCTGCTGGCACTTGAGGTTTAGTTTGGAAAAGGGTGTGAGCCCTTCTAAACCTCAGGAACAAGGCCCTTCCCAGGTGGCAGGACTCTTCCTTCCTCCCAGTGGCAGGTGGCAGGACCCTTCCTCCCTCCTAAGGTCCTCAGCCTGTGCCTGCATGTGGGTGGGAAGCATCCAGACTCTGCACTCCCCTCTTTGCTGCACACCCCTCAGTGAAATGGATGCTCTGGGAGAGAAGGAGCCAGGCCAGACAAAGCAAGGGAGGAGGAGGAGGGAGGAAGGCTGCTAGGTCAGCTTTCTGGCAAAGCTAAGGCGGAAGGAAAGACCAGCACTCCCAGGAGGCAGACAGGAGGCCTCAGCTGGGTAGAGGGGACCTAGGGGATGGAAGGCCAGGAGCCAAGGCTGCCCTGGGGCCAGAGTCTAGGCAGAGTGACTGCAGTGACCTCACCCCATTTCAGAGAGGCGGAGATTGAGGCTGAGGGTGGGTCCCCAGGGTCCTTTGTGTTCCTGGAGAATGCAGCTGGGGTGGGCCGATTGTGTGCCAATTGCCAGGTTGCTGTGGTTACCGGGGGGATGCCATAGCTGTGGGTGCACCAGGTTCTGTCTCCTCCCCTTCCCTCCCCATGAGGGGGAGGGGCAGCGGGTACTGAGACACGTGCCAGGTAGATTCCTGGCCCTGGCCAATGGGGGATGAGGATTGTAGCCAGGGAACGGTAACCAAGGAACCGTCGCCTTGGAATCTCCATCGCATACCACTCCGCTGGGTTGTAGGCTGGCAGGGCCAGGGCTGAGATACTCTGAGCTCCACCAGGCAGCAATTTCTCCCTCATTCCCTGCTCCCCATTTGACCCAAGCCCCCAAAGGGCTGCCAGTATGTACCCTGCTGAGCTCCCACCTGAAATGGTGCCTAGCCCTGTTGTCATGGCAATAGCAGGAGCCCTCCCTGTTCCTGTCCCCTTCTCTCCATGTCCTTCTCCCTCCCCAGAGCCATCCCCACTCAAAATTGGTAGCCTTGACCCTGAGATTTAGATGAAACACCTCCCCTTTCCCCAGGGCTCTATACACATATGAAGATGGCTCAGATGACCTCAAGCTTGCAGCTTCAGGAGGTAAGAATTCCAGCTGTTCCTTGGCCTTCCTCTCCTCACCTCCTCTGGTTTTCTTCCCCACCCACCTGGCTCCTAGCCACCTTCCTGCCTGCATCCAACAAGACCCACACTTGTCCAGCAGGTGTCCTTCTTCCTTTTCTAGTCATCCGTGGAGGGAGCCTTGCTTAACATTTGACTTCTAAGAAGACTGAACCTCAGAGAGGGAAAGTGATTTGCCCAGAGTCACACAGCTGAGGGGGAAGGGACCTAGGGACGGCCTGAATTAGCACCAGAGGTAGAAGGCTTTTTTTGCCTTGCTGGGCAGTAGCCCTTCATGAGACGTGATGATGTGTGACCTACCCCAAATCAGCCTTGGCAGGTTCCAAAGGCAAAGCCAGGTCCTCTGTCCCCTAACCCCCACACTCTAGCCCAGAACTCTGTGACCTCCAAATCTCAGAGGCCAGAAGACCCTTGTCTGTGCTTGCAGAATCCGTGAGGAGTCTTTCCTTTGGGTTCCGGGCCCTTTTTAGGGTAAGGGTTTAGGAGATGGAGAGTCTTGACCCTTTTCTGACTCCCCCAGAAGGGGGCTTGCAGGAGCTTTCAGGCCACTTCGAGAACCAGAAGGTGATGTACGGCTTCTGCAGTGTCAAGGACTCCCTGGCTGCTCTGCCAAAATACGTGCTCATCAACTGGGTATGCAGCTTCAGGCTGGGGAAGGGAGCTGAGGGCCCAGAGCAGTTGCCTTTCACCCCCCTCTGCCCTCTGACCCAGTGGAGGGAGAGAACACCAGCCCTGGGGAAGGTAGTCAAGAGCCTGGTACCTCATCATGTGGGGCCCCTATTGTCCTTTCCTGACCCCCTCTTTGCTGGGTACTGTGCAGGTGGGTGAAGACGTGCCTGATGCCCGTAAGTGCGCTTGTGCCAGCCATGTGGCCAAAGTGGCTGAGTTCTTCCAGGTGTGTATGGGGCCAGGGCTTATGGTGTGTGGTTGGGGATAGCCGTCCTGGTCTATGTGCCAGGGGTAGTAATGGTAGGGATCCCTGATGCTGCCTGAACACTGCCTTCTTCTTGTGGAAGGGCGTCGATGTGATCATAAACGCCAGCAGTGTGGAAGACATCGATGCGGGTGCCATTGGGCAGCGGCTCTCCAACGGGCTGGCACGGCTCTCTAGCCCTGTGCTGCACCGGCTGCGACTTCGGGAGGATGAGAATGCAGAGCCCGTGGTCAGTGTGTGCCTAGGGCTGCCTGGTTGTGCCTAAATGTCCTAACACCTTAGTCTGGCCAGCTGTGTTCCTCTTAGGGCTTACCCTTTGCTTGTCGTGGGCTCCAAGTGCGTTGGGCCTACTGTCTATGCTAACGCTGGGTCATTTGACTCTGCAGGGTACCACCTACCAGAAGACGGATGCAGCTGTAGAGATGAAGCGGATTAACCGCGAGCAATTCTGGGAGCAGGCCAAGGTCTGAGACCCTGAGCCTGGCCTTCGGACTGAGCTGCCCCTCCTAGGCCTCACGGGGCAGCTCTGAGTCCCTCAATTGGGATAGCAGAGAGCTCTCTTGACCTTGTGCCCACATAATTCTCCCCTGACTCCCCAGAACCACTGCTTCCTCAGTCCTAGGGCAGGGAGGGACCATAGGGGCCGGGCCCCCAGGCTCAAGGCCTGCCCCTCTGCGGCTTGTAGAAGGAGGAAGAGCTGAGGAAGGAGGAGGAGCGGAAGAAGGCCCTGGATGAGAGGCTCAGGTTTGAGCAGGAGCGAATGGAGCAGGAGCGGCAGGAGCAGGAGGAGCGTGAGCGGCGCTACCGGGAGCGGGAGCAGCAGATCGAAGAGCACAGGTGAGCCCACCCACTGGTGGTGCTCCAGGTGCCCAGGGCAGCCCCGTAGGAGTGCTTCCTACTTAAATTTATCATTCCAGGAGGAAACAGCAGACTTTAGAAGCTGAAGAGGCCAAGAGGAGGTTGAAGGAGCAGTCCATCTTCGTAAGTTCTTTGCCAGGACTCCTGGTCTAAAGTGAGGATGCTCCCTTTGTTCCTGGGTCTCATGGGGAGATCAGTGACTTGGGGACAGCACAGGTGTTCTGGGAGCTTGCATGAACATGGCGGGGGCATGGAGCATCTGGCCTGGCACCCTATCATATGGGGCTCTGGCCTCTGACTGGAAAAAGACTAGTTTGGAGAAGCTCAGGGTAGTTTATCTTGCTCAGAAGAGAAAATCTACCTTGACCCCCTCACTGACCAGCCGCCTCCTTCCCCTACAGTGAGGCCAGGGGAGCTCATGGTAGATTAGACACAGTTCTTGCATTTAGGCTCAAGGCCTGTTCCTGCCACAGAGTGCAGCAGAGCGGTGTGAGTGAGCCTGGGCCAGTGCTTTAAGCAGCTATACTCGAGTGTGCAGTGTCTCCCTCGTTGTTTGTTTTTTTGTTTTATTTTGAGACAGAGTCTCACTTGTCACCCTTAGCAGGGTGACATGGTATCATAGCTCACAACAATCTCAAACTCTTGGGCTCAGACGATTCTTTTGCTTCAGCCTCTCAAGTAGCTGGGACTACAGGCCACAACCCGCCACAACGCCTGGCCATTTTTTAGAGATGGAGTCTCACTCTGGCTCAGGCTGGTCTCAAACCTATGAGCTCAGGCAATCCACCCGCCTCAGCCTCCCAGAGTGCTAGGATTACAGGTGTGAGTCACCATGCTGGGCCTTACAGTGTCTCCTTTGGAACAGCTCCCTTCCTCCAGTGGCGCTGTCCAAGTCTCTGAATCTCCATTCCTATGGAATGGTCCAAAAGTCCTGTGGATTAGTTCCTGAAAATCACAATGCAGTCAAATGTCTGTACTTTGAATTGAATTTAGTATTTCAGAAATAGCTAAGGTTGTTTAGGACTAAACATGGTTTAGTTCAGGAAGGGTGAGGGGGGTCATATTCATCTGGATTGGAACTGTGAAGGGCAGATCTTGGGCCATGGGGGTGCATACTAGCTTCAGGGTCACACCCACAGGAGACTGAGAGGGAGGAAGTAAGAAAGTCATGTAGGCACTAGCATTGAGTAGCCATTGAGGATCACTCCAATCACATTAGCCCCTGGATGGGTAGAGATGATGTGTGGTTGGTAAGCAGCAGCCTCTGTCATCCTTTCAGTAAACACCTTCCACTCGCACGTGCCAGGTGTTAGAAACAAGGTAAAGAACAAGATGGACAGGATCTTTCTTTTTAATTAGTTGATTCATTATCTGTTTTTAATTGTAAATTTGCATAACATAAAACGTACCATTTAAACCATTTGGAGTGTACAGGTCAGTACATTCACATTGCTATGCAGCCATTACCATCTCCAGAACTTTCCATTTGCAAAACTGAACCTCTGTATGCACTAAACAATAACTCCCTATTCTCCAATGCTCAGTCCCTGGTAGCCACCATTCTGGGCCATGGGGGTGCATTCTGCTTTCTATCTCTATGAATTTGACTACTCTGTGTACCTTGTTTAGGGTAATTATACAATGTTTATCCCTTTTGTGAATGGCTTATTTCACTTAGCATGTCTTGAGGTTCATCCATGTTGTAGTATCTGTCAGAATTTCCTTCCTCAAAAAAAAAAAAAAGGGCTCAGCGCCTGTGGCTCAAGTGGCTAAGGCGCCAGCCATATACACCCAAGGTGACGGGTTCAAATCTAACCTGGGCCCACCAAACAACAATGATGGCTGCAACCAAAAAATAGCCAGGCGTTGTGGTGGG